ATATTAGTCTACTGTTCGATCTAAATGAGAATATTGTTCTATAATATGGCCCCTCACTTTAATTACACGCAGCTAGCCTTGAACTTGTTCAAAGACGTCTTTTAAAATTCTTAAGTGTAAGAGAGGATGGTGTTTACTCCAATATTGGGTTTCCGCACGATAACCTATTAGAAAGATTTTCGATGTTCAGCATCACTGCAATAAGAAAAATAATAAATAATTTTGATGTTTTTATAATTTATGTTTATTATAATTTAATTAGGTTAATGTATTTTTTATGAAAGTACATTTATTAGTCGTTTCCATTTTGTTATGTAATGAATTAACTTACTTCCTACCCTATAGCTGATTGTAACTGTAGGGTGGTATGTTTGAAATAAATAAATAAGTACAATAAATTATTATTACTTATTATATAAGGAGTAATTAGCAATAATATAAATTAAATACTCGCTTTTACGGGATGGCATATTGCATTAAAATTTATTTAAGCTATGCAAATTAATTCAGAAAATACAGCATGTGTTAAAGGAGATCAGCTAGGTATATTCGTAAAGAGCAATTAAGCACCTCCTCTGTGGATATGGTAGGGTGGAAGAACTTGGTTTGATTGATATAGGTCGGCGTTTCACCACCCCCCAATTAATTAGTTTTCCAGGTTTCCCTCATTTCTGCACTGAGTGGTGGTTAGGGCTTACCAATGTAAGTCATTCCTAAACGCACATGCGGCCTACTGAATAATAATTTGCCGCGCCCTCTCCCGCACAAGTGTCCGACTTCTTGACTTCTTACGATTAGAATGATGGGTAGAGGTATTATTAGTATTATTATTTTTATCATACAGGTTTTCCCAGTTCTAAATTTGATGAATTTAAATAAAAGATTCTACTTAATGAAGAAAGATTTTACATTTTGAAGAAGTTTTTGAGTAGTACGTCAACAACGACAAGTGAAATTGAATTAAAATTTGATATAGGTGGTGAGTACACTCGTACAAAATTTGACATTTTGGAGAATGGTCCTGCTGGATTCAAAAGTAAATAGTAATTTTTATTTCTGAAATATTAAGTATCATCACACAACCAATTTATTGTAACTTTTAAAAAGATGCTACAAAAAATGTACTTCGTTGTGACAATTTCATAACAATTCGAACAGTTCGAGAAATAATCTGACATATAATAAACATATGATTATGATTGTTCTCTTAAGAGCAATCGCAAATTTTTAATTTCTCAAATACTTGCTTTTTATGTAATATTCATGTTCATATTTTCTAACATTAGAAGTTTTTCCAATATAAGATTTATAAGATTCTCCTCATAATAAGGTAGAGTAGTTTCAAAATCTCATGAGCCGCGAAATGCGCGAAAGGCGTGGCGTATCCACATAATTATTCTAATAAGCACGTTGTGAAAACATTGACTCAGAATTAGACCACGTGTCTCATTACAACCAGAAATGAACTAAGGCGCTCGTGCATCAATAAAGTCAACTGGCGAACGTTCGTTAGGCATATATATTTTTATTGCTTAAATTAAAATAATAAAGAATAGAGCATTTTATTATGATATTTGTAATCGGAGCAAAGGTTTGTTTACGCTATGAGAGCTGGAGATAGACTGTGAATAATGGATGTAATGTTTTTAGGACGTAGAATAATTTAGGCGACGGTCGGAATTATGTTTTTGCGCATATCAAGGTCAAAGCTCATAAGATTTTGAAACAACTCTAAATCTTCTAGAAATGCGATTTTTTAGAATTTTTAGAAAACTAATGGGTACATTTAATATTAGAGCAGTTGTTGGAACAACTCACTCTTCACGATTTGTTTGTGGTGTGACGAAAGATTTACTTAACATATTGTAGTATAACAACCCTAGGTTCGATAAAAAAATAAACGAACACAAACGTAGTTGTGGCCAAAAATATGTGATCGTCATAAGGAATACCTACGTTGTATACATCTATTTTTTTAATTGACCGGAAGGCGCTGGCTACTAACTTTTTTAGAGGGGATGTATGGTTTAATTTTATAAAACAAAGACAGAGTAAATACACCTAACTTTATTATTTATGTACAACAATCTTCAAATTAAACAAGTGACAATAGAAAGAATAACAAAAACATTAACAACCATTTACCATAAAATGAGAGTGCCAGGCTCACCTAGAGCTCCTGTGGGGAAAGAGCATGGCAGAGAAACCCACGATCGTTGCTCTTACTACCCAAATATAAATACAAAACAACCGCTAACCAAAGGTATAAATTAAGATCCTTTGCTAATGATAAATAAGAGCTGTCTCATTTGATGTGTCACTAAATGTCGTCTGTTAACCCATATTAGTCATACACACTTCCAAGTAAAACTGAAGAGGTTTGGTGTTAGTTAGCCGGCGGGGCCGGAAGGTACTGGAGTCCCATACGGGAGGCAATCCAGCTATAGTTGAGATTTCGGAAGATCCTTCTTAACACTGGAGTCCCGTACGGGAGGCAATCGAGCTTAATCCAGATTCATTCCGCACGGGCGAAAACGTTAGTAACTTCAACAAGGCTCGTATAGACGTATGACATAAAGTGAGCACAAGAAATCAAAGGACAACATAATCATGATAAAACAAGTCAAATGTGAAACAAAGGGGTTGCTATTGTAATATCTGGGCAGTCACGACAATATATACATATTTTAACATGTAATAAATAATGAGCAATCTTTAATCATAATTGTTACAATTTTATATTAGAAAAATATACGCCCCTGAGCGTAAGACAATGAAGGCTAAACATATACAGAATTATTATCATGAAACATCTATATTTTACGACCAACGTAATCATGACAAAAACAAGTTAGATGTGAAACAAAGGAGTTATTATTGTAATGTCTGGGCGCCCACACAATATATTTTAACATGAAATAAATAATGAGCAATCGTTAATAATAATTATAACAATTTTACCTTAGAAAAATATATGCCCTTGAGCATAAAGCAATGGAAGCTAAACATACAAAGAATTATTATCATGAAACATCTATAACCATCACAATCACAAGATTACATAGAACAATTAACAACAAAGTACTTAAAGAATATCACCTGCTAACTAATACCGGTTAAACACTTAATTTTCCACTACTTCTAGATTTTTCACACTACACTGATCGTCTTATTTTTCACTCCGCGCTGGCCTCACTTCAACTGCCTATCTTCAACTAACTAGGCTTCCTTCCAGAATTCCCTACCTAGGCGTTTTCTTTTTTGCGCTTCCTTCTACCGACCCTTAATATTACTTTTTCATTATTATACAACACTCATGTAACAGGTGACGTGGAAGTTGATAAGATCAGTACGGTTTTGCACAATATTTCTTTGGTAATTTCACATTAGTTCAATGAATTTTTCAGCCATTTGCAGACTGATCTTACCTATTTCACTACTTTTCATCTATATAAATAACTGATTTGCAGGTTTTCATGGTACCTAGTTGCAATAGTAGAACAATTTTCGACCTAGTTTTCACTTCGTGAGTTTAGTCTTTTTGACGTTTCTAGAAACGTATCGTTCTCTTCTTCGGAAGAATATCTGAAGGTGCAGAGGTTTCTTCTGAAGAAGAGAGCTATATGTCTCTCGAAACGTGAAGAAATCTAAACCGATGACATGGTAACCCGCTCGGAAATTATTCGAATTAGAAGTAATCGTGTAACGACAACACAGACACAGACAAAAAAAAGTGGTGGTAGACTACCTTGATATTCGTATAGAGTTGGGTATGACAGAAAATATGAAGGCAGATTACTAGTAGATGTTGAAAAAAATATACGTATGAAGGAAAAAACAGAAGGAGAAAAAAGAGCGATATAAAAGGAAACAGAATAATTAAAAACCAATGTAGGGTATTGATTTACTGCAACTTTTAGGTGTATTTTATAACTGAGTTAATTTTCTTAACTAACAACTGTCTTCAGAGTTTTCAGATAGATTTCTTGGTAGGATCTCATCTAAAGAGAAACTCACTAAATAGAAAGTTGTCGCAGACTTTGAGGGATAGGGGCTTCTGGTATCTGTTAATCATTGCAGCTCACTTTTAGGTTTTTCTGGTGTTCACTAGAAGAAGAGTGATCGAGTATTTGAATACTCAAAATATGACGTTTCCAAGACACCAAATATGGAATTTTAGCTGATTTTTAAGTTATAAGGGTAGTTTTATAATACACTTGTAGTCGTAGGGAATTCAAAATATGTAATGAGCTTCACGAATATAATGAGCTAACTCGTTTTCACAGCTTTGGAGGAACTTACTGAATGCAAAGTTTTTGTTGCTTTTTAGGATTCAGGAGAAGCTTTTAACATATTAGAAAAAAGAAAAGACTGGACTTTGATGAACCATTTTCCTGGTAGATTCAGTTTCTAGGAATCAAAATACATAGGGCGGTGCACATGTTTTTTATTCTTGGGGCAGACAACATTTTTTATGTATCTGTGTAATTGGTAATAGAACGGGATCAATTTTGAAATATTTTGTATTTGCAATCAAAATCAAATTCTCTATCACACAAATTCTCTAGCACACAAATTCTCTATCACACAAATCACACAATTCACTATCACATAAATATTACACAAATCACAATTCTGTACCGCACAAATTCTGTATCATACTGCGCTTTGGAAGAGTGAAAATGACAACCTTTTGGTGTTGTGAAACTTTAAAAAGTAGAGTTGTCAGTTCAGATCTATAACTATTTCGCAATTTTTGTGGTAATTTCATTCTAGAACAATTAATATCCAATCTTAGAAAATTTATCGTACACAACAATCTCAATTTTTGTATTTGTAAGCGAGATCAGATTTTTTTTAATTACGTACAGCCTCGCGCGGTGCCGACCCTCCCTTGGTTCCCATGGCGACGGTCTGCCGTCTGCCGGCGTCGCAGCGCTCGCAAGATGAGATCGCGGGGCCTACCCGCTGGAGCATTCAGCCAGTACCGCGATCACGATGCAGGTTAGAACGGTCGGACAGGTGAAAGATTAAAAAGTTCTTCTGCGGCAGTCAGTCCATCAACGTGACAATGAGCACGCGGAACGGTCGTACGCGGTCAACGAACAAGCGTTCTCTCGGAGACTGTTGACGGTTCGCCCCCTTAGAAAAAATGGTTCGGTTTGGAAAAATGGAAGAGCAGGAACGGCGCGAGCTGTTAGCCAGCATGAAAGAGATGAGTCTGGATAGTAATAAGCATATTGATAACGGTGAGTCACGTCGGCACGCGGATTAGATTGATACCTTGGGTTTGGGTGGGTGGATGCAATTGTTTTTTTTTTTCAAATGGATACGTAAAGGGTTGTTGGTTATAAATGTCAACCCCCTTAACTTTTTAATTTTCAAGTTTAAGAAAAAAAGTTAAATACGAAAGTTGTCACAGTCAATTAGAACTTTTTTATGGTGATATTGAAATTGATTTTCAAAAAGAGTGGTAAACTAAACATATATTTTTTTCAATCTTCTATATTTTTCGATTCTTGACATCAGTGTTTCTTGCTGATTTCAGTAATATACGTATGTCGTATTTTTTGTCTAATCATTTGTGAAATATAGGATGATATTTAGGCCTCCGCCCACATTTTTCTTTCTTTTCTTTCCATAAAGAAAATATGTAAATGAATGTAAAAATTTTTATTCATCTCTGGAATAAATGTTCAAAATGACTCAGTTTTTTTTTGCATAACCTATAACTGTCTCTGTCACTTTCGCTATTATTTTGCGGTTCTCTCTTATTAATTACATTTCTTGATTTATTTTGTTACGAAGGATTGAAGGATAAGTTTCTAAGGTAGGTAAATGCAACAAAAATGTGTCCAGATGACTTAAACCAGGGCTTTCGTAGGCAACTGAATATTTCCAGATCTACGTTTCCCAACATTGAAAGTGGTACTTAGTATCCAGGTATTATTGAAAATGTTATTAGACAATCGTTAAGTTTTGACCTTAATTTTGTTAACATTATAAATATTATTTTCAATTAGGTACTTGTGGTCTGCAAATAGCTCCGATTTAAGTCCTCTGGATACATTTTTGTGGAGCTAGCTAAAAACAACTTATGAAGTGAAATTACTAAATCCTCTAAATATTTGTTATAAATAAGAAATAGAATTAAAAAATGAGAATCACAAATAAAGCAATAGATAAATTAAAACGTAATTATAGATAATGCATAAAATAAATTCGATGCCATTTTGATTATTTATTGTACACATTAATAAAATTTCTTTTTCATATTGAAAACAAAAACAAAACATAAACGAATGCTTAAATATCTTCGTATATTACATAAACGATTGGATCATATAGATATATTTCTGAAATCGGCAATAATTGCAGATTTCAAAACTCAAAACATACCGTTAGAAAAAAAAACAAAAGTAGTTTGCCACGTTTTTTGAAGTCAACTCGTACAATGTTCAATATCATCATAAAAACTTTTAGTTGATAGTTAATAATTACATTTTTATTTAGCATTTTTTTATATTCTTAAAAATAAAAAGGGTGGGTGATATTTACGATCAACAACCCTGTACATCTGCGTTTCATCCAATTCAATTTTTTTTGTTTTTTTATCTTTTAAGAAAGCGGTAGAACAATAAATTAAAATCTTACCTAAACACACATGAATTCAGTTACTGTTTTTTCTGTCTATTTTTTCAAATAGTCTGTTTAGCGCTAAAAGTTGTTTTAGAATTATTTTGTTTACCCTCGAGCATTAAAGAGAGTAATAATAAATACCAAAAATTCAATGAATATGGAAAATATCCTCTAAAGCAAATATTCATGGAATTTGCAGAGTTGGATCAAAGCATTCTAAAATAACTTATGGTGTGAAAATGACAATTAAAAAAATTTAGTTGGAACAAACCAATGGGAACTGTCATAAATTTATTTTTCTTCACGTTGCTGATAAATACTACAAAATAATGTTATTTTTGTCAAGATGTACAAAACGAAAGTTAAATATTTCAAATTTTATATGGACATCCACAAAATAGGTTCTTACGGAGTTAAAAAAAAATAATAAATAATATAAAAGATAAAAGGAAATAATTTTACCGGAAATACAGAAGTCAGTTCAACTAAGTATAATAAAATGTAACAAGCAAACACAAGTAGTTGTATTATTTCGAAGACTTGAAGTAATTATTACCTTTTCCAGATGTGTTTTATCTCGTATTTTAAAAGTGGTCAATTTTATTTTAGAAAGCGTCATTTCAATTTCTCCCTAGTCAATTTTATTTGTTATTCGGGTTAATTAATTTTGTTTCAGAAAATGTTAATTAAAGTCCCGAATTCATAAATTGATTTCAGAAAACGTCGTTTCTATTTCTGAAATCTTTAATTAAATGTATTTCAGATGATAATTTAATAATTAATTATTATATCACACTATGTACTATGTTGAATGAAACCATAATAATGTATACAATCAATTTTATGTTACTCATTTTAAAGCTAAATTTGATTTAGATCATACAGAGTACAACACCACAAAGAGTCAAAAATGAACAAACGTTTTCTCGTTTGAATTTAAGAATATTTTCTTATAAACACTTGCTTTCGTTTTTGAGATACCTGTTGGGTGCTGAAAAAAATGTATATCTCTTTTAAACAAATGAATATATGTATATTGAAACAACGTTTTGTATGAACAATACACGAATATAATAATATTCAATTTAATAATAAAATGAAGCTGAAACCAGTGGCGTAGACAAGAATTTTTGAAATGAAATTTATTCTTTCTATAATGTTTGTAAAAATTAACATTTTATAAATAAATGCAGAAAATTTTTAAATTATTTAAAAAAATTTGTTCAAAGTGAGATCCCTGTATTTCAATACTATTTTCGATACGTCTTCTCACATATCATATCACTCCCTTAAAGATTTCTGTAATCTGATGAATCTGCATTTTTCAAAACTTTAATACTCTTTATTTAAAAAATAATAGCTTAGCAGGGTATTACATTCTGTTAATTAAGAAAAATCTACGCAAAAAAAGTTAAGAGAATATTTTTGTTCAAAGTAAAATTTGTATTACATGAATAATTTGAAAATTTTTTCCCCAGTGGCGTGCCATATTATCTGTGCAAAATGTACCAAGCATATATTTATGCTACTGGCTTGAGCTGAAACTTAATTTTGTCATTTTACAATTGACATTTTATTTACAGCACTACGTAAATACGAAATTTCGATTTAATATTTTAATTTGTTCAAAAGAAATATTATATTTTTTTGGAAACCTTTAGCACCCTGTCAAGGTTTAAGTATATACCTAAGAAAATTTTCTTTGGTTTTGAATTTTTTAGATTTTTGACACGTAATTACACCCTGTGCATTATATGTACGGAGTGAAATACAATGTACATCAAAATGATGTACGTTAAAAGTGTGACTAAATATTTTAATATCAATAATATAAGTCAATATATACAGGAAAATAGCAAAATGTTATGAACATCATGTTTATCTGAAGTATTTCTAATAACCTTTCTAAAATAAAATTGATTAGTCTGAAATATAATTGACGCTTTTTGAAATACATATGGTAAACTTATACAAAGGGAAGTTTTCAAAAGCATGTTAAACATTTCCTTTATTTAGACAAATTAGTAAGTGGATCAGTCACTTAAAATACCGTAGTTTACAGTTACATGCATACAGTACAATGCTTTAGCCTTAGCTAGGAATTTTTGACCTGTCCTTGTTGTTCACGGACCAGATTCTGTGGGGGCTAATCCGCTATCAGCGCGCCCTGATATTGATTTCGGTTCTTATAGTCTAAGAGATTGGTGTCAAAATCCCCCCGTGATCGAATTAATGGCCAATTTTGTTTTTAATGTGTTGGTCGTATGTTGTATAACAGGGTTTCAGAGTTTGCTGACACCCCTTGCGGGGCAGGGGTTGGGGGTGCAAGGGTAAATACGAAAATCGCCCCGTGATCAGATTAATGTCAGCAACTCATAATTATATATTCTAGACCTTCGGGGGAGTACGAAAATGAAAGTTGCTGACAGCCTAGTTGGGACAGGGGCGTTTAAAATGGGGTCAAATTGTTATTGCAAAAAAGTATAAAAAATAGCAAAAAAATTCATTTTTTTCTTGGATTTCTCGTCGACAACTTAGCAACTATTCACTTTAGACAAAAATGGAAGAGTAAAAAAGTTTTGTAATTAAATTTTGATCAAGGTAGAGTTAGTTGCAATTCGAAAAAATAATTATTGTTATTGCAAAAATCGGAAAAATCATTTAAAAATTACAAAAAGAGCTAGTTTATTTGTCAATTTTTTTCAGACACTTGAATAATATCTAGGATCTTCATACTTTTCCCAATTAAACTTCTTACTGCATAGAATCATCACACCAAATTTCATCCAATTCGGTTCTATAGTTTTTACATAATACCTAATTGTTTAATTTTTTTTTTAATTAAAAAATTTTCAAAATCAAATTTCTAAAAATCTAAAGCCTTTGAATACTTGAAAATTTCACTACAATGAGAAGAGTCCTTAGGCTTCAAAATGGTTTTAGAAAAATTAATAATTATGTTATTTGGAAGCCGTTAAGGCAAAAATCTCCGATCATACCAATGCGTTTTACCCAACCCGAAACAGATACCCTCTGGACTACGCATACAGTTTGCGCGCTCGGTAAGTGGTACATTTGACATTTGACCCCGTTTTAAACGCCCCTGCCCCAACTAGGCTGTCAGCAACTTTCATTTTCGTACTCCCCCGCAGGTCTAGAATATACAGGGTGTAACGTAAAGGTTCTAATTCTGGAAATGAGTATTCCATTTCTAACAGATCTAAACCAAAGTACAACCGCTTAAGGAAAGCTAGATGTCATGACTGACAATGATGTTTTGTCTGAAAACATCTGAAAACAAATTTTAGTGGCTTGGTCAAAGCATACTTCATAATGTTTTTATTTTCATTTACCTATGTTAGCAGTGGGAAAAAATAGTATTTACAAAACGCAAGAGGGTAATTTTGTTTAAAATAAAATGTAGATTACACAAAAATATTAAAAAAATGTTTTTACCAGTGGCGTACCACAATTTTCTTCGAAAAACCTTACGGTGTAATACGTACGCACGCCACTGAGTAACTTACAAAGCCAATCTTTTTCCTGTTACTAGGGGATTATCAAATTAAGCTATGGATAAAATTTCATTCCATTATCTTCTAATGTTCGA